CTAAGGGAAAAAGTTTCCGATGTCCGTGCACGCGGCGCGCGTACACCTAATGTGTAATGGACGTGAACAATCACTCGAAGAAGAACATTAGAGATGTGGGAATTATTTTCAAAACAATCGTTACACACCCAGGAATTTCAGCATTAAGGTTAAACTTTAATGAAGCACAAACACGTTAAAGGTATGAAAAGATTCAGTTAAGATACTTAAGCAACCTGAAAACCTTCAAAAGCTGTTCAATTTTTGATGCTTGCTGATGAAGGGCTTTGGACCCTTTGGCTTTTGATGCTGCTTAAGCAGACAGCTCTGGGCAGATGATGCAGGGCTGCTTTGAGGCCAGTTCTCAACATGAAACCCACCTTACAAAGCACAGCCACTCCTTGCTCTCCCTTAACAGAGGGACCTAAAGAGAGATACACAGGCTCAAGAGAACAAAGCTGCCTCTATCTCCATTGCCTTCTGCAGTGAGCCCTGCACAAGCTCCCCATACCAAAGGTCTCAGGCTTAAGGCAGGTCCTCAAGGTCCCTCACTCTGTCTTTAGACTTCTTGGTGGAACCCTGATGCCTGCAGCCAAGAAGCAGTGTGGGCCTCCATCTCAGACAAAGCAGCTCTTGTTACCATTGCACTTGTATCAAAAGTCACCTTTACCTGCTGCTAGGTCAGGTCTACATCTTCATGGACTAACTACGTAAGCTTCTGGTGTTTTGTGTGGATAAGAAAATCAGCCCTCTTCAAATTAACCCCAGCACAATTTGTGCCTCAGAATTCTGAGGCACAAAACTAGGAATGCAGATGGTCTTTGTTCTAACCATGGCTGCAGTCACCATGAAGCTCTCCTGGGAGGACACTTCGTGCACAAATTAAATGCATTCACTTCTGAACTTGTGACTAAATTCAACTTAACTTTTTCATTTTTTTGGCTTAACAGCTACATTTGCTGCCCCCATTCAATTAAATACCCATATATATAAAACCCCATTATCTATTTATATACTGTGACTTTATTAAGACTCCAGAACAAACATTTATCTTAATTTTCATTTTTACATTCTATACCAGCACAGTATTAGCTGAGACAGCAGAAATCTCAGATCAAATATTATTTTTCCCCAACAGATCCCAGAAAAACTATTCCAAAGATCTCTCTCTTAAAATAGTAACAGGCCATCACAATGAGAAAAGAAAATGAAGGAAACATGAGTAACACTCTTCATCTACTATAAATACAGACAGAAAATGCTTACCAAATTGAAGTGTGTAGTAAAATCGATAACAAAATAAAGTCTTTCTGAAAAGGATAATCTGGCTGACAGGCTTCTACGAAACGTGTCAATCAATGTACAAAATTACTGTTTACAGAAGATTAGAGATGATCTAAGTAGTCCATGGGATAGTTCTTCTAATGAAAAGGAGCTCTCTATTGCCCTCAAGGCTATAAAGCTTAGTTTTTAATGCACGCAAACATCATGATCTGGTTTATAGATTTGAGAGCAAAATCTTTATGTGCTTAATGATCCAGCATAAGCAGCTTAACACTTCAGTATAAAGGGAAGTTATGCAAGATTGTTACAAGTACATTTTTACTTGTATTATTACTAACCCTGGAAAAGTAAGACAGACAAGGACAAGAAAAAAAGATGCAATAGTTCAGTTCAGATGTTCTAAAGGTCTGTAATCTTCTCTGCCTGCCCCTGTCAGGTCTCAAATGTGCATTACCTTGAATGTCTATTTAGATACAAGCGTACAAATGCTTGAGAAGTTGATGTTTGAAAAGTCTGCTTCTGATGGAGAACACACTCAGTGTAGTGCTCAAGAAACTAGCCAATTTTTTTGTATTTGCATTTTACCTGCTCTCCTTTAGATATGTTGTTTCCCTCCACCTATTAAAGCATAAGCATATGCACACACCAGAAACTAACTAAATCAAAATTTCAGATTAGGAGACTGTACAGCTCATGAATAGGTTATCCAAGAACAAGTCTCAAAGTGCTTTTTGGTCCCCAACATAATTAATGAAGGAGCTGCAACATGGTCTATATTCCTCCCCACCCCCCACCCCCGAGAGTAATTCTTTGATTTTACACCAAGTGTCAGTTCACTGAAACATAAAATCCTGTCCGACTCTCAAGTGAAATCTAGATCAACACCAAAAGATGATAATGCAGGAAAGAAGCATCTAGCTATTCAAAATGACCCCATATTGGCAAAAACAAGCAAAAATATTCGTAAGCAAAATCCTTGTCAATTATTTTACTTTATGAATCTCTGCCACTGCTCAATAATTAGTGCAAAAGTGGTTGGAAAGTGCTTTAGCAATATAAAGAAATATTACTTCTACAAACAGGAAAGAAAGACATCATGGAAGAGACGGGGAAAAGAAATTTTGTATTTGAAACAATCATGAAGATTATGCTGGACAGGCTGAGTGCAAGAAAAGGTCAATCACGATGTTGTTGAGCACTGCCTTTACTGGAGAAACGCACAACATGTGTCTCTTCACATTATGTGGTCAATATCTTCATGAACTAAAGTCCAATGATGCCCAAAAAAACTTAACTTTGTGCACTGTTAGTGGTAAACACTGAGGTCAGAAAGTAGCGTAACTATAAAACAAAACTTAAAAAAAAACCAGAATAGACTGTAAATGTATATGTGCATCTGTCTCCACACACCACAAATTTCTTTGAAACTTCAAACATCAAATTTCTTTTCATCTCAGAAAAATATAACATCTATTTCTATTTAATATCTTAGTCCCTGATCCTTGCAAATACTTAGGCATGTGTTTAACTGTACATGAGTAAACCCCATCCAACATTAATTGGACTACTCACATAAGCAGAGTTAAGCAAATGTAGGTATCTGCAGGATTGGAGCCCTTGTGTCTTGAAAGGAAAGCCAAAAGGTGCCTTAATATGTATTGCTCACAAGATGTCCCATAGAATCATTCTATTTGTAAATATTTTTAATATACCAAAATAATACAAACCAACACATTAAAATGTGGGATTATTACTATACAAAATAACTAATATATTCTTTATAATTTAAAAAAATAAAATTGCTTTGATAATCCCCAAAGCTTAGATGATGACAAGTGAAAATAAATTCTTTGGGACAAAACTAAATTCAGTTTTAAAAGTTCCAATTTCTAACTTGACACATTTCTGTATCATACTTATTTATATGTTCAATTTATGGTTAGGATCTTGGAAAGGACGTTGCACAGTTAAAAAAAACATTTAAACATGAGCTGTGTTTTTAAATATATTTTATGTGACATATCAATATTTGTGAATTTACTCAGATAACATTTTAGTGACATAGGAGGGACAGAAGTATGTTATTTACTAGAAAACTATTAGTTAAATCTTGTTAACGCTTGGCAATAGACCAGGGCATAAACTGAATTTGAATACAACAAAAGATTAGGTCTTACCCTCATGCCTAGCACCAAGAACCCAATTTCTTCCATTAGTGGGTACTTGCTGACCTGTTGTTGAATCTTCTCAGCTGAAGCATATGGATCATAACTTTTCTGGCCTATTTTCACATCCATTATACATGGCTTATTAAACTTACGGGTCACATCTTCCAGTTTTAGGTATAGATCTGTTAAAAAGACAACTCAGTTAACAATAGGATAACACAAAGCACTTTATTATACAAGTTATGCCTGAATCAGTGTGGGGGGGGGGGAAAAAAAAGCACGCTTTAGATGTTAAGTTTAAGGGTATGTCTACACTACGAGAGTAGTTCGATTTTACTTAAATCGAATATGTGGAATCCATATTACAAAGTCGAACGTGTGTATCCACACTAAGGACAGTAATTCGACTTAGTGAGTCCACACTAACGGGGCAAGTGTCGACACTGGAAGCGGTGCACTGTGGGCAGCTATCCCACAGTTCCCGCAGTCCCCGCTGCCCATTGGAATTCTGGGTCGAGCCCCCAATGCCTGCTGGGGAAAAAAAATGTGTCGAGGGTGGTTTTGGGTAACTGTCGTCATCCAACCGTCACTCCCGCCTTCCCTCCCTGAAAGCGCCGGCGGGCAATCAGTTCGCGCACTTTTCTGGTGAGTGACAGTGCGGATGCCACAGCACTGCGAGCATGGAGCCCGCTGCGACCATCGCTGCAGTTATGGCCGTTGTCAACACCTTGCACCTTATCATCCACCTTTTCCAGAGGCAGATGCTGAGAAATCGGGCGAGGAGGCTACGGCAGTGCGGTGAGGACATGAAGTCTGAGAGTGGCACAGACCTCTCACAAAGCACGGGACCCCTCGCCGTGAACATCATGGTGGCAATGGGTCATGTTGATGCTGTGGAACAGCGATTCTGGGCCCGGGAAACAAGCACTGACTGGTGGGACCACATAGTGCTGCAGGTCTGGGATGAATCACAGTGGCTGCAAAACTTTCATATGCGGAAGGGAACTTTCCTGGAACTTTGTGAGTTGCTGTCCCCTGCCCTGAAGCGCAAGGACACCCGGATGCGAGCAGCCCTGACTGTCCAGAAGCGAGTGGCCATAGCTCTCTGGAAGCTTGCAACACCAGATAGCTACCGGTCAGTCGCGAACCAATTTGGAGTGGGCAAATCTACCGTGGGGGTTGCTGTGATGCAAGTAGCCAACGCAATCGTTGAGCTACTGCTCTCAAAGGTAGTGACCCTTGGAAACGTCCAGGTCATCATAGATGGCTTTGCGGCGATGGGATTCCCAAACTGCGGTGGGGCTATAGATGGAACTCACATTCCTATCCTGGGACCGGACCACCAGGCCAGCCAGTACATTAACCGAAAGGGCTACTTTTCAATGGTGCTGTAAGCACTGGTGGACCGTAGGGGACGTTTTACAAACATCAACGTAGGATGGCCGGGCAAGGTTCATGACGCTCGTGTTTTCAGGAACTCTGGTG